ATATATATTGAACTTACTTTCAGTAATGACAAACAGTTTAGCATCATGGCATGTGTTTATTTTGCAATGCGTGTGAGTCCAAGGTGTGATTGAAAACTCTAAGTGGGACAGTATTTGTTTTGGCGAGAGACAAAATAAAATGCCTAAAGTTTACTTTAACATGTAACAGTTTTGAATGTCAGTGTAGAGTTCCTCTCCAGCCTCCAGAGGAGCTCCCAGTGTTCTGGCCTCTTCAGTGTAGGCAGCCACATCCTCTGCCGTCCATGTCAGCAACTTGAAGTCTGGACGCTGGAGCACTGTTTGGATGTCGGGGAATGTGGGCCTGGAGTGTGGCTCCGGGTGCCTGGCAGAAACACAGGGTGTCAGATAAGCAACTAGTGCTGACATGTGCTTTAGTTAACAATCTGCGATGTCTGGCAAACTTTTCTTATACTAAGCAATACCGGAGTAGCTAGAGCAACTCTGCATGGCATAATGGCCGAAATTTACTCTGTTTTACCAGGAGTACACATATTACTCGTACCAACAACCGATCATAGTCTGATAGACAGCTCTAGGACATCCAGGTGGGGGAGGGAGACGATATCCTGACTGGATTTTATCATAAACCTATGTATTACACATCACACAATTTGTTGTGTTGTTAAAAATACTTATGATTAACCTCATTATTGGTCATGAGAAAGTAGGGTGAAGCTCCCAGAGACCATATTTCATACATGAGAACTCCAAAGCTCCACACGTCACTGGCAGTCGAGTACTTCTTGTAGTGGAGAGCCTCTGGAGCTGTCCATTTCACAGGGATTTTCCCTCCACGAGAGACATAGTAGTCAGTGTCTTGCAGAGCTCGGGACATGCCAAAGTCAGCAATCTTGAGGGATGGAGAGGTATAGGGTTTTATGACGAGCAATAAACATCAAGACAGACCTTGCACATTTCCTCATGAGAGACCAGTATGTTCCTGGCTGCCAGGTCTCTGTGTATGAACCCCTTCCCAGACAAGTAGGCCATTCCTGAGGCAATCTGACGACAGAAACTCAGCAGTAATGCAGCAGTGTGTGGAGCCCTGTGATGACAGCTTCAATGAAGTACACTCATAATTACAGCTATCTCTATTACCCGGATTTAAAGGAGCAAAGGTGGTCCAGAAGGTTACCACCCTTCATCAGCTCAACTACAATCATCACCTGGTTACATAAGTCATGGTAAGTCACGCAATAACATTATGATTAGGTGCAATTGATATTTTTTTCAGCTCACTTGTTTGCTCTCCAGAAGAACCCCATGGAGAGTGATGACATTGGGATGTTTGAATTGGCCCATGATGACTACCTCCTGCAGGAACTGAATACGTTTCTCCTCTGTGGAGCCATCTGCCAGTAACTTGACAGCCACCTCCCTCTCCTCTCCCCCCACACTCCACACTCCCCTCCTCACCACACCAAACTCACCACTACCCAGCTCACTGGAAAGTCTACATAATATTCATTCGATACACTAAGTGTGAGTTCTCCAGTAGGTGACTCACGTGAGGCCATCAGGTGAGATGGTGTATTCTGTGAGTTGTTTCTTGAGCTCCTCTTCCACACTGGCTGGCTCCCAGAATGGCATGTCATGGTCTCTGCTGAACTCATAGAGTCCCTCAGCTGAGGCTTGAGGTGTTTCATTGCCCGACTTTCTGACATAGTAATCTCTGACATAGTCATAGTAGGATCTCTCCACCTGCATGCACCAGTACAACTCATGGTGTTATATTTTGCAGAAATGTGACTAGAGCCCATTTGATGTAGCATATATACAAAACACACAATGACAATGCCACTTAATCAGTTTACTCAGTTTACATTTAGTGGTTCATTTGGTCCTCTTTTGAACCATTGCCTTATGATCAACAGAGCAGTAACAACCAGTGCACACAGCAGCAGGAAACAGAGTACTCCAATCATCACATACAGGACATCTCTACTTTCACTCTCCTTCTTATTCCCATCTGCCAACTCTGTTTGTTGAGATCATAAAGGTTATTACTGATACCTGACTATTGTGGCATTTACCTGTAATGTTTGCAGAGAAGAAGAGAGACATATTTGTGTGAGACCATACCAAGTGGCTATCAGCAGAAACGACATCATATTTGCTGGTTTCATTAATAACTGCTGGCTGAAAGTAACACTTTGCCTCACCAATTGAACATTCCAGGTTCAAGTGCATCGCCAGAGTACCACTGCGAGGGACAGTGATGTTTAGACCGGTGGCGCTGACGTACCCTTCGTAATTATTGCCAACCATCGCGGTTTTGTTGCACGTTGCGGGCAATAATATTCGACTAGTCACATCATGATAACTATACTTTGCTCTTACACCACTTGTCAATCGCATTTCAACATTTTCGGGTCTGCCACAAAACCCGCGAGCCTCGACAGAAGTAACAATGCCTCCACATGGCAGCATATATCCGTAGCGGTGGAATCCTGGATTTTTCATGGGTTCCGCTGCTAACTCTTCATATTCGTCTTCATGATACTCACGTATAATGCGAACGCACTCTGTGGAGAGAGAACTGCTCAACAGTACAATACACAATAGCTAAAATACCGTCCTCAGCGGCGACTCCGTGTACTCCAACAGCAACTATTAGGACCAAAGCAAAATGCATTATCGAGCTTGACGGTCTACGCCTGTGTCATTGGCATGGCTGTCAGAACGATCCAATTAGGATGAATCTCCCTTATGGCTGCTGTCTGATTGGAGCTAGTAGCCTTTTACAAATTGGCTAGCATTTCACTGTAGGGAACATCCCAATATCTGGAGATGTAACATTTGACTGAGCAGCTGACCCTCTGACTGGTGTCACCAATGGACACCATATCCATTGTTGCCACATCATCTGGTTTGCTTTATGGTGCACCATTGGGGGTTGTTAGTTTAGGTATGTCATAGTTTACACAGGTAGGTGTTTCAGTTTACAATGAGCACCACACAAACAACCTATATGCTCTGTGTGCTATTCACATATTTTGCAGTTCCATCAGCTCCATACATTAACTCAACTCCAACAGTCACTGCCACTACTGTCACCATCACTGGTAGTGTCCCCAGTGACTCGGTGGTGACTGGCTTCTCAGTCCAGTGGCAGAGAGACACCTCACGTGGCTGTTCTAATGAGGATGAGGGAAGCATTGTCACGACAGGCAGCTTCAGTAGCTATACAATAACTGGACTAGAGGAGGGGAATAGGTACACCATCACTGTAACACTCTATAATGATGCTGGTAGTGGTCCAGTCAAAAACTCGTTACTAGAGCGC